TAGTCTATTTTAGATTAACGATACGTGTAGATTTTTTACTGAGGCAACCATAATCCTGTTAACGATTAAAAGAAAAAGCACGTGGCATTATACTTTTTAAAGTTCCAAAATGATGATAATTTAAAATTGTATCTCCTCACTGCTGAACAAAGAGGGGGCTCGACATATGCCCTTTTCAAATCGTTCTATTTTGTGTGATTGCTGGCTCAATAACATCATAAAAAGAATACACGTCCCACCCTTCCCGCTTTCATTTAGTCTCTCTCGTCTTTTTGACCAGCCAAGCTGACGCGCATCAAAGCCTTCATCAGGAGCAGGTCCGACATCTGATAGAGTGATTAAATAGATGCGATTTACTTTTTGTTGCAAATTGAAGGCCAACCGATTAAGAACCTAAAAGTTCAAATTGGACCGCGTGAACATCGCCTCTACCAAGATAAAAGTTGAGAGTTTGTATTCCTCTACATGCCAGAGGGTCAGGAACCTTTTTGACTGGGAGAGGCCATAAAAGCCAAATATCTTCTAAAATAACATTCATGTGAGAGCCATATAGTATTTTTTAACGTTATAATCAACCATTCAAAATATGTCTTACTTTTAATGCGACTTCTGTGCTGCATGGTTTTGGCTGATGGCCTTGTAGTCTGTTCATACGTGGTGAGGTTGAGGCTTCATGCAGGCCGTTGAAGGCTTCCATTCAGTGTAAACGTGAAGCCGGTAGGCGTTGGCTTATGTTCCCTCATATGCGAGAAATGACTGCTCCCACTCCATAATGTAGAGCCAAACATGGTCAACCTAGGCAGCAATATCTGCAGCCAGCTGCATTGTGTTGGATAATGTCAGCAGGAACGCTCGTTCCAAGTTTTAAGAATGCATCTGGTCTTCAAGGTTGAAGAATTTTTTCATTTCTGCGCACGTTGTGTTCCCCTCCCAGCTCTGCTCCCGCTGTCCGTGCGGCAAGAGCTTTCCAACCCCTCCCCATTATGAGCTTGAACTTACTCATCCGCACATGTCTGATGGGCCTTCAGGTCAGCACTTCCAGCTCAAAGTCTCCGATACGAGACACCGGATGCATGTCAGCGTCGATTTTGTCCGCACTGCAGCACCTCATGGGATGAGTGGATGAACTTGAAAAGACCCAGTGGCGCGCACCCACCGAAAATTTCAACAGACGTCGCTTGCACTCGGCAAGGAGATTCGGGACCTAATGCAGCGCAGAAGCTGCTGGATATCGCAGATTGTTGAGTGGAGTAACTGCTAAGCATGCATCTCTAAAATTGGTTGCAGGTCTTTCAAAGTGGGCAGAAGAGGAGCTTTTTCAATGTCGCCCTGAGAAACGACTTCCCAGCTTCGCTTTCAAAAATGCAAAGCACTGCTTGGTTTGAACGGGGATGAAGATTGTATTTCCCAATAGCCTTGCAATTTTCACCATTGAGTCTGTTCAGGAGGCCAGTTCATGTCCACGAGACTTAAAGTGAAAACGTGCAGGAGGCCAGTCAGTGTGTCTCGTCATGATGTTGGACGCCTTTCAATGTTCAAGAAAAAGCGCGGGATTTCACTCAGGGCAAGGCTGGCAAAACGGCTGGAGCCACCTTCCCCCCTTGACAACCAAACCACATGTTGGCTGTGTAAAAAGCAGACCAGGGAATACATGAATTGCCAACTTCTTCCTAACAGAAGGCTTTAAACTCGGCGATCCCTATTAAAGCTCGGGGGCAAGCAAAATAAAGTTGACCACTCGAATGAAGCCAAGCGACATCACGCTCCACCAAGCTCCTGGGCCACCACGTACTGAGCCGCAAAAGCACGCTGCCTGGTGCAGGACGCAATGACAGCTTAGGAATGGCCTCTCCTTTTCATGTCAGCGGAGAAGCGCTATCCAGCTCAACAGAGCAGAAATATAGTTTATCCATCGAGTCTATTTTTTCTTTCAGGCAAACTCCAAAAAAAGACGATGAATAAATCCTCCGATCCCTGCCTTTGTTGTCCTTCCATTGGCCCAAACAGCCAAATGCTGTTCTCACGCAGTGTGTCGCCTGCAAGCAATACCTGGCCTGTTTGAACTCATCTAAGGCGAGAAGAAAAGTATTTCGCGCGTTATGTCCTTAATTTGTGTTTCCTCGACTTGATTTGCCATAATGATGCTACGATCGTGCACAGTTCTTGCTGACAGGGGCATGTCTTTTATTCGTTTGATTATCTTGTCTTTATTTGGGAAGTCATCAAACAGTTCATTGGCCACATCAAGCATGAATGTTTTGGCGTACTCGCCATCTGTGAATGGCTTTCCATTCCTTACTATTGCCAAAGCACCCGCAAAGCTAGCGGAATTCCCGTCACCTTGCTTGGTCCACACAAGTAGTTGCTGCTGACTCGTCTGCACTCTCCGCTGTAGCTCCTCGCATGCCCTTTTCCTGCTGTCCCCCGCTGGATATTTCGATGCAAATGAAGCATGGTGCGACGTGCGTATCGAAGTGCCGCTTTATATTTGACCGTTTCATCGATGCAATTTTATCATTGCATATTAGACATACCGCAGATCCTGCTCTCTCCACAAATGCGAGTGAAAGAGATTCAAATAAGAGCACTGGATGTCAGAGAAATCCCCAGAAGACATTTGAATGAGTCAAGTGGTTGATTCCTCCACGCAGCCTGGAATGCACGGTAATCATCGTCTTTTTTTCTTTTCGCCATCTTTTCCGTTACAAGGGTTGAAGCGGATAAACTAGTTGGCTATCTGATAAAATTGATTTCTTCACCTTTACAATGACCCGGACATGATCGCGAGCCATTGGTTCCGTGACCCGTGAAATTTTATCTTCAAAACTAATTTCTGTTTACTTTAAAATTACACAGTATTATTAAGAAATATCACAAGTATTTTAAAATCAGTTCCAAACTGATATATATATATTTTTTTTTAAAACTCAAAATTGTCTGGGAGCCATATGCCGTCACCGGAAGAGCCATATATGGCTCGCGAGCCATAGGTTCCCGACCGCTGCCCTAATAGAACAATAGTCATATTTGAGAGCATTATGTTTTATCCATCACTTTGTAAGAGCAGTAGTGAATTCCAATCATTTTGTTTAAGAATCTTTTAACAAAATACTGCAGATTGTGCAAAAGTTGCTGAATTCACCAAAAACGGACCCAGAAAGGCTTCTGATTAAAGTTGGGTTTCTGGACACGGTGCATTGTTAGTAGCTCAGTCCACAATGTTTTTAGGTCCAATCGGGACTTGAACCAGCAACCCTTCGATTCCAAAGACAAGTCCCGATTGGACCAAAAAAGATTGTGGACTGGTAGCCTCCTGTGAACTGCCAAGCTGTCATTGAGCAAGGCACCGAATCACCAGCTCTCCGGCGACGGAACACTGGCAGCCTTTTCTCTCTGACACCTCTTCACTGTCTATAGGTCCTGTTTGTGAGTGTTTGTCCCTATGTGTGTTATTCTAAAATAACACTGGAGTGAAGAACTGAATTTTCCCATCAGTATTAATAAAAGTTGATCTTAATCTTAAACATGACCTGCAAAATGACTGGTGATATTGTGGCGTTTTGGTGGTGTACAGTTTTTGGGGCCTGTGCTGCTGTGTTTATCTGCAAGAAGTACAAACTATAATGCATTTTAATCTCAATCAAATACTTTTACTACAAAATGAAGCATTATACAAATGTATTGATTAATATGACAGTGTTTATGTCCCCAAGTTTGTAGTTGAACAGTGACAGTTCAACTGTTCTGATGTGCAATAACACTGTCACACTATCAATATCAAACTTTGCGCAATATACTATATATAACTACTGCTGCGTCTTTTTACCATGGTGTACATATCTGCTATTTTGTTTTTGTACTTTATGTGTAGGCATTATAGATTCAGACTTACAGTATTAGCCTAAAGAACAGTACAGCTTACAGAGAAGAGACAACTTCTGATCCTTTACAACAAACACTGTATGCTCTTGTTAGTTTTTTTTACTAATATTGTAATTCTGTCAGTAATCCCCAATTGTCAGAAATGTAAAACTAATCTGATTTTTTGTCACTGTAAGGGATTAGTTACTTTTTTTTTATCCTAGTTACGGAATCCCAGTAGCCTGAACAAAACAAAGTGTTATTATTAAGCTGTAAGAAACAATGTTTTTATGTTTCCATTTCATGAAAATGAGAGTGAATACTTGACTTCATCAGGTGGATCATGTGTGTGTACATGTTTAACAACTGTTTGCTACAATAGCAATGACAAATTAGCTAAGTGTCAGTGGGATGAGTTTGGGAAGTCTACACTAAAAATCTTAATTTTTCAAATGTCACTGTTTTAATCAGGATTTACGAAGTGCTTGAGCTGTATTTTAAACTAACTAATTACATCCCCTCCTGTTCCGGGATTTATATGCAATAATTATATTTGAAGTCAAGCAGAATTAAAGCTTTAAGCCAAGAGTATTTGGGTAAATGTATTTATTTTCACGTTAAGCAACCAAAAACCGTTTTTTGCAACCAACTATACACATCTTGTTGTAAGAAGTGTCACCCACCGTCTCGTCAACATTCCTCGACTCTGCATTGTTCTGTACCCACAGGATATTATGGACAAAGAGACATCACTTATTTCCCCTGTGCAGGTAAGACAAGTCAAACATCCTGCTATGGTCCAGTGCAGGTGATCCTATTCACTGCTGCCTCAGCCCACAGCTTTCAGAGGGGGAAAGATGAACGGATATATGAAACAATAAAGAGGGTTAACATGTCGCGGCAGCTGGAACAAGCCCCAGTAGCCTGGAGGGGAAGGTATCCCCTTCACAGTTACACAAAGTGTGGCGTCTGATGAAAAGAGCCTCATCACTCACTAATGCCTCTGTTGTTAGAGAGTTCCTGTTGGCTCTGAGCCTGTGGCATGCCGGCAGCAGTATGACACAAACACAGTGCTGTAAACAGTATAGTTGTTTTTATTATAAATGTAAAAAAAGAACTTTGACTGTTCTGGTACAAAAATAAATTGTATGCCACTCTGAAAAACCCATAAAATCTCCCCACATATTGTACATAACACTCACGCTAACTAAGCATCATTCTATTTAATACATCGAACTTCACATTTGAAACTTTTATAAACCATTGCAACATTATGTTTCACATGTTTTGCATCCTAAGTCTGTTGAGCTTTTATTATGTAATAGATAACAGTTTATATTATTGTTCACACAAAGGCTCTACAGAAAACACACATACCATAAGTGGCAGAATAAAGCGTTACACACCGAGTCGGATCAGCACTCTGAGAGCAGTTCAAAATGCACATATCAAGCATAGATGAGAAGCTACTTACTGTTTAAAACTGACTATTAATAATACTCAGACCTGTCTCCTGTAACTTATGTTTCTATAACTCATTTGGAAGAGCATTTTGTTTCAAAGTAATCATAAAGCCACCTGGATTACATTTTCTATAAAACATTATGAGGAACTGGTGTTGATTATTGTCAAACTGTTGATACTGAATGTAAAACTTCCATATAGACAATTTTATCTGAAGTACTCGAAATATGCATTTAAAGTGAGTATAAAAACCAACACCTGCCTGCCCCTCTGGTGAGGAAGAGTTGTTTAGCTTTCCTTTCAAAAAACGTTTCCTGTTACAACAACCATGTTTTGTGTGCTACCATAACATCAAAGGGAAACCAATTGTAAAGTACAGGGTTTATATAATCCTAATATTAAATGTCAAATCTGGTTTCTGGCCATCTTAAATGTTCTTGGAATTCTAGTGGATTAATGGGATTTTAGATTGGCACAAAGTCAACTTTTCCTCCATTCTTCTCTGCAGTAAAATGAGCAGCGTTATGATTCCTGCCCCTGCCAGAGTCCCACTGGATGATTGTCAGTGTGTTTGGGATCAGGTTAATCAGTGTTTTGCATTTTGCAGGTTTGTCTGGCTGCCTAACAGAGCACAGCTGCTCTTTGTCTGTAAGGCAAAGCTTAACTTGCACAGAGGCCTGCTCTAACCATTTAGTGAACAAATAATGTCTCAAGATGTGTTCGTGATTCACCCCTGTCAGATTTAGACATGCAAATTATTCCAATAGATGCCGTTCATAGATAGCCTAGCTTAGCATAAACAGGGGAAACAATAAGAAACAGGGAGCCTGGTTCTGTACTCATTGGGAGAAAAATGGTGTAAAACTCACTACTTTACACCTTGTTTTTGTTTCATCTGTACACATACAGAAATGACATATATGTGCTGAACAGTCAGCTGTGGGGACTGTGTGCAGCTTTCTGAGGTCTTCCATCACAGTGAAGCTGGACAGTGACATCATACAGAAGTGACGGCAGATGACAAAAGTGTTAACAGTTCCAGCTAAATAGTTCACCCTAAAGCCAAACACTGATTTGAACATTCCTTTTTGTGTACAGAGTAAACCACAATACAAATCATTGAGCTTTCTAGGTGGTCGTACTTTGGACGGGGCCGGGCTAGCGGTGTCACCCTGCTTCCAGCATTTATGCTAAGCTAGGCTAACAGATCTCAAAATATTTGTCACAATAATAGATTAAATACTTAATTAAATACCCTATATTCTTGGAATTTCACTTTTCTGTAGACGCAGGATAGATAAATATTTAATTTAAAGTGTTTTCAGAAACTACTACTTCTGTTTTTCACAAATTACTACTTTATGTGTAGTAGAAGTGTGTAATAACTATTGAGAAAGTGTTTGATTGTTTCGTGTGTGGGTTAACGATGTGGCAGGATGGTCATTATTGTTTCACTTTCAGTCTTGTTTGTTAACTAAATAAGATGAGGTGTTGTGTTCAGGTGGCTAAAGTATGTTACTGTTTGTATGTGTGTGTGGACCTCAGGAAGAATAAGCTCATTGCAATCCTCATGAAGACATGGCTCCTTCAGGATCACCTGCTCTTCCTCCTCACACTTCCTGATGAACTAACTCTGTTCGTTTTCGGTCTGCCCCCCAGGTTTCTCCTCAGGCGGTCCAGCCTTCCTCTGAAGTTTCCTCTCGTTCCCTCTGTGGACGGACCTGTCCTTGTGTCCCGAGTCATTCTGCTCTCTGGAGTAGCGCTTGCACTTGCAGGAGGTTACCACGGTGATCTTGTAGGTCCGGGAGCTGCCGTCCTGGCACTGCAGCCGGATCCGCTGGGTTCTGGTCCGGTCGATGACGCAGCGCCACTCCTGGGCGTCGCGGCGGCTCCAGTGCCTCCCAGTGTAAACCCCAGCCCCCCCGCCGATCCAGTTGGGCAGCAGGTGGGCTGGCAGACACTCCCCAGCACACACCAGCTCCTTGATGGGGTTGACGCTGGTACACTGGCCATCAGAGATGTACTTTGTGGACCTCAGCTCCCTGCAGCCCACCTGGCTCTGGTCCGGGCCTGACACATGAGAGCAGAGGGAGATAAACGTGATTCACGGGCAGAGTGGGAAAATTACTCAGATCTTGTGCTTGAGTAAAAGTAGAAGTACCAGAGTGTAGGAATACTCTATTACGTTAAGTTCTGTTAAGTAAAAGTCCTGCATTCAAAATGTTACTCAGGTAAGTAAGTATTCTCATCAAAATATAGTGAAAGTAGCGACAGTAAAAGTAATAGTCCCAGAGTGTAGGAATACTCTGTTACAGTAAAAGTCCTGCATTCAAAATGTTCCTCAAGTAAAAGTAGAAAAGTATTCTCATCAAAATATAGTGAAAGTAGCGACAGTAAAAGTAGTCATTGTGCAGATTGGTCCATTTCAGAATAATAGATATGATATGTTTTATAATGATTGATCATGAAGGTGTTCTCAAAGCTGGTAAAGGTGCAGCTAGTTTGAATGACTTTGTATACTGCAGGGTAGCTTGTGGATTTACTCCAGGTGGAACTAAAGTCTGATTTAACACTTGATTATATTTCACATCATTCATCCACATCTGTAAAGTAACTAAAGGTATTAAATACATGTAGTGGAGTAAAAGTACATGATTAACTCTACATTTTAGTGGAGTAAAAGTACAAAGTAGTATCAAATGGAAATACTCAAAGTAAACTTGAGTTAATGTACTTAGTTACTTCCCACTTCGGTGCACACTCACACACATTCTGAGGTGATTTATCTCACCAAGCATTCACCACTACAAACAACAGCAGAAATACAAAAATAAAAGCATCTTGTGGACAAACACCAACATACATATAGCTCCAACTAATGTAATTATTGTTTGACTTACATACTTTTCTAGTTTTCTGATTTATTGAATAAAACCAAAAACCTTCAGTGTGTGATTTTGATTGTCTATCACTTTGGGATGTTGTTCTGGACGTGAGACCCGATGTGTTCCAGTTCTCTCAGGGTGGAGGGAGCAGGAGGTATTTTTAACCAAGGCTTCGGACCACCCATCAGCTCTGATTCCAGGTTGCAGCCGGTCTAGGACAGGCCTCAGATATGAAGATGATAAAGTAGAAAAGCGACCCTGCCTGCCTCGGAGCGACGGGGGGTTCCCCTCTCCAAAGTGTTTTTCTGAGCAGAAAATAAATCAGTTGTTTGGTGTTGTTCAGATGTATTGCTTCCAGGCTTGAAAGTGTCTCTACCTCTCCCACTCAGGCTTTTGAACTCCAGGAACCTAAAGGGCTGTTACAGCCCCCCTAAGGCTGATCAGCGAGAGGGAGACAGGCATACTCCTCCTCTCCCTCCCGACTCCTCACAGTGCAACATTTATTCACCTTCCTCTTTCACTCCATTGCTACAAATTATAGTCTTTCCTTCCTCCTGCCATTGATAAGGGTTTCTTTATATCCAGGTGGATCATAGGAATCACAAAGAGGTGAGAGCAGGAAGACAGAGCTCTCAGATATTACAGAGCTATTATTGAGCCAGTGGGGGATATTGATCCACAAGGAGACTTAGTTCAAAGACATTCCAAAGACAAACATGAGCAAAAAGTACTGACTCCCCCCCGCTGCAACATGACAGACTCACTGAAGACCTGAGCCCCATAAACGTCTTCCTGTGGCTGGATTAATGAGCAGTGCATCAAAGTGATTGAAGACTGTTTCATTTTTGATAAAACATTTATCCAGAAAAGCCTATGAAACAAGTCCTTCCTCTTTAGCGTGCGCCGGGGCTGGTTCTGTGACCAGCACTGAACAGAGCTGAGTTCTGGAGATAGAGTTACGACAGAAACGGATCACTTTGAGGGACATGGAGTTTATATTGTTTTGGTTAAACTGTGCCCAATAATTGCTCAGGCGTAAGATACAGCTATTGTAGTGGAAAATGCACAAGCTGTAGAATTGCTAGTTGTAGAATGTACTTGAATAACACAACGTATTTGTTATTTATATATAAATAATCCATGCACCCTGTATTTTTCTTGGCCCAGCAGACTACCGGCTAAATGTGGACTTTATGTCTGTTATACTCTTTAGAATTACGTCTTGGGCCTATTGAATAATGAGACCAAGTTGGAGTCAGTCTGTTTCAGAGAAAGAAAAAAAGGAAGTAATGGTGAAACAGTGTGATGCGATTTGACTGGGAATCCTTGTATTTGCAAATCATCAGGTTTCAGTACGAGCACTTTTAGAGAATTGACAGTATTTGTCTCTTCATCCACCTATCTTATTTAAATAAAAACTCTAACTTTATCTAGCAGCCATATATGGAGCCATACCGAAGTGCCGAGTGTTCATTATTCTGCTGATATGACAGCTTTTATTCTACATAGTTTCATATTTCCCCAGATTTCAAAACATGGCTGCAGGGAATTGAGCATTAGAGTGGTCCAACACTGGTGCTGGCTGATAAGGCCTGGCTTTCATTCAGCCTTCCAGTTCATCCCAAAGGACAGCCACGTGTTTCCCAACTCAACTGGGAAAAGCATTTGATTAATGGAGCTGGCTATGTCCTGGTCAAGGAAAGGGGAGTAACTGGTCCTTTGAACGCAGCAATAAGATTTCCCTTTGAACCTAATGGCCCAAACCATGAAAACAGTTGTGGAGGAAAGTAGAAAACGAGGGGTTACGTATGGTAACCCTTGTTATATAAACACAGGTGGAGGCCTCTACTGGACTCTATGGGTACTCCCCTTGATCCTATCATGCAAGCATTCATCCACTGAGACTTTCTAGACGTAGCCGGCCCCGGGGCGGGCCCACCTGAACGCGTGTGCATCTCACCGCATAAAAGGAGGCCTCGCCTCCTGACTGTCATCCTACACTTCTCTTCAGCAAGCAGCATAGGACAGACAGTGCCCCCGAGTAGAGGGCTCCGCCTGTATTTATATAACAAGGGTTACCATACGTAACCCCTCGTTATATCTCTCACAGCCCAGATGTATACACGCGCTGTCGTCCCACAACAACACTGTTCCATCTCACTGTCTCTGACCGGCTTTCTGGTTAGCAGCCGTTGCGCCTCACTCACCTCTCCTTCGGTCGTAACCGTGGAGAAAAAATTGGGGCTGCGGCTGACCGAGCACACTGACGCGCTTACCCTGTGGAGGTGTGCTATGACGTGGAGGACTCCCCCCCCTGCCCTAAAGCAGGGGAAAAGAGTCCTCCAGCCCTTATGGGCCCAATGCGCGTCACGCGACACGTAAGCGCATTACGCCCGGGGGGGGGGGGTTCAGATGCCCACTGACCCACAGCCCCNGGGCGGGTCTTGCCTTATGACACACACACACACACACGAACACTTGCTAATGCTAACACACACACACACGGCAACGCTCACCACCAGCACACACACACACAATGGTGTGTGTGTGTGCTGGTGGTGAGCGTTGCCGTGTGTGTGTGTGTTAGCATTAGCAAGTGTTCGTGTGTGTGTGTGTGTGTCATAAGGCAAGACCCGCCCAACTCTGTCTCTGATTGGCTTACCCTGAAAAGTTACCCCGCGTTAACCAATCATCACTCCTCTCTGGTTACTTTCTTTTTTCCATGGTGCTGTGAGAGGACCTCACTGTATTCACCTGTCAGTTACATCCGCAGGGAGATTCGGTTCAGTTCCATCACATAATGTAACGCAGTAACGCACCCATTTAACTCACAGCAACTATAACGGCGTTACTTAATGGGAATAGGTAACTAGTAACGCTATTAGTTACTGCAAAAAGTAGTTGTGTTACAGTAACGCGTTTGTAACTCGTTAGTCCCAACACTCGCCCGCCCCCTCGCACACAGATGGGAGAGAGAGATCTCGTCTGATCGAAAATAAACCATAGACGCATTTTTTTGTTCTTTTTGCTTATTAGAAACGAGATGGCGACACTAAGACTGCGATATAATGTTTATATAGCAATAATACATGACATATATTTTTTAAATGTCTCCAGTACCGATAAAAAGACCAATAACGTTGGAGCTTAACGGCGCAGAAAACACACGTTATCACGTCACCAACGAATCGACGACTGAATTAGTTGGCAACTAATTTGGTAATCGATTTTAATCGATTAAGTCGATTAGTTCTTGCACCCCTAGTTGGTAAATGAGGCTGGTCTTTTCAAAAGGACCAGACCAGCCACTGTCCTTTAGTGTTTTCTTGTATTTTCTTGTTCCTTTTCTTCATGTGCAGTTTATGGCAATATAATCATTTTATTGTTTGTGTCTTAGGTTGTGCTCCTCTTCCTTGGCGGCGTAGGCCTGAGCCCGGGTGGAAAGCTGCCTGCCTTCAATGTAGGGACTGCATGGTGTGCAACTTTCTTTTCTGTATGCTAAATGTCTCACTGTTATTATTTTATAGAGATTGTGGTTTGAATATTGCATGCTTTCGTTGTTTTGGTGCGTGGCTGCAACCCAGCGCACCAGGCCTGCCCAACTGAGGAGGGTAACTTGTATACATGTTGAATTATATCTGCCTTTTTAACACTTTACATGAATTGACTTTTTAAACTGTTTACAACACTTAAATAAAGCTGCGTTATATTTTTGGATTTCATGCCTCTGTCATAATTAAACCTATTAAGGGAAGCTTTAAAATCGGTCCACGACATACACTTACATTTAGGGTCCAGGTGGCAGGAGGCGGCGTTGTCAGTGACTAGCTTTACATGTGGTAACCTCAGTCACGGTTACCACATGTGTGTAAACAAGTTTTAGTTTTGTCAGGGCTCTCATGTTGTGTACGGATTATTGTGAAAGTCACAAACTGAAAATCTTGCTTTAAAGCTAATTAAGCTAGCATGACAAGCGAACCCAAAGGGGAGCACAGTGCTGCCTTGTTAACTCCGATCACATCACACTGTCTCTTATGTTGCCAAGCTCAAAGTTTTCAATACACTGGTCAATTACATAAAACCTGCGAGACTGCGAGGAAGCTTATAGTGTTTGTCAGTGCTGTAGTCTGGGCCTGTAGAGTTTTACATATAAATGAATTCCTGTGAGGCGGTAGTTGCCCGAACAGTGAGTGGCTTCAGGAACGGAGAGGGA